AGAAAGAAAGAAAGAAAGAAAGAAAAAAGAAAGAAAGAAAGAAAGAAAGAAAGAAAGAAAGAAAGAAAGAAAGAATGAATGAATGAATGAATGAATGAATGAATGAATGAATGAATGAAGTAGAGGCCAAAGGCAGAAGCAGCAGCAGACGGAAGAGAGAAGAAGGTAAATGTAGAAGATGTTAAACTTTACACAGTGGATAATGGTGGTTCTGATCCTGCCATGGATGGGTGGCTGTAGAGGCTTCGAAACAGGAAGATCCACAGGGTCTGTACTCCACCCCCTAAGCTAGCCTCCTGCCTTCAAGGTAAATGAACAATACCGTACTGTCCCCTTACAAGTGTTGAAATATCATTCAAGTGAAAGCCAGCTTCAGATTCAGTAGGAAGAATCTGGCCTGGGAAGAAGACACTGTGTTTTCTTTCATTCTTGTAGTTGTAAGTCTTAAGCCAGCCTTCACTGCTTCTGCTACTAGAAATAATATACAGTAAATAATATCGTGAAACAGTAATCTTCCAGACTACAAGTCCCAGAATCCTCCAGCTAGGAATTTTATTAGTAGCCTTGATAGAGTTTAACTACAGTTTTGTTTGTTTGTTTCAGAGATGTAGTCAAGGATCCAAAATGAAATGTAAAAATACTTTCATGTTTGAATGACGCTGTTAAACACCTTCCCACCCATCACCACACTTGAATAACATTTGGCAGGATGATGAGAGGACTGAGAACACGGTTTTGGAAGAGGGCACCAACCGGCCTTCCCTGGCTGGAGACTTCTGAAAACTGCTGACAGGCTTCTCTAAACCAGGGTGGAGGGGGTTTGACAAAGGCTCCTCAAACATTACTCAAAGTAAGTGTCTGATGAGCAAAACCTTGACATTCCTAGCAACGCAGCCTGTGGGAAAGCAGGCGATTCAGCCAGTAGCTCGCACGGAACATGGCTGAACTGCACGGGGAACATCTGGTAAGCGATAAGCCTCCGGCTGGGGTCCCATCACATCTGATACAGCGAAACCAGGGTCAGGCCCGGTCAAGCTTTGAATGGGTGAACCAATTAATTGGCTCCCTTTACTGACAATGGCTTTGAATCGCCGCTAGATGGGAGGATTCCTTCTAAATCATCTCCACGACCAGTGTTCAGGGAAAACCATCGTTTGTCAGGGCTTGAATGTGAAGCCGACAAGGATTGAACCAAACAGCATGATCGGCCCTACCGTTGGGCAGAGTGATGTAGCCACACCGGTCAGATGATCCTGGGAAGTGGCAGACGGGTGTCCTAGGATCTGGCGTCTCCCAGCATCTACTCAACGCTATCCCATCTCTAGCGTTCACAGAAATTTCAACTGCCAGTCACTGTGCACAGAATTTTAGGAAAATACCACAGGCCACTTCTTTTTAGCGAGCTGGCTCCTGGTCCCTTCTTTCTCAAGGCTGTGCAACAGACAATGGCTAGGGCGATTTCTTAACTTACAGCAATTTGTTGGTAAAAGTTACCTTTTTCATAATTGCACCACAAGATTTTGGCCATTATTTTGCATTTTACGTTCCATGTGAAAATGAGTTTCTTCTCCTAAGTCATCTTTTAAGTTATATATCACTGTCTACCTGACATCTGACTGTTCAGCCTGGAGGCAGGCAGTGCATCACGGCCTCTCCCAATATCACAGGCCACTTCTTTTTAGTGAGCTGGCTCCTGGTCCCATCTTTCTCAAGGCTGCGCAACAGACAACGGCTAGGGCGATTTCTTAACTGACAGCAATTTGTTGGTAAAAGTTACCTTTTTCATAATTGCACCACAAGATTTTGGCCATTATTTTGCATTTTACGTTCCATGTGAAAATGAGTTTCTTCTCCTAAGTCATCTTTTGAGTTATATATCACTGTTTATTATATATATATGTTTACATTGCTTCAGGTCTTAACTGTTTAATTTATTGCACATGTTTTCAGATCAACTACCGTGTTTCATACTGATTTCACGATTGTTATTTGTTTCGATTCCCAATCATCACCCATTGGTCTCTATGACACTCGTAGCATGAACATATATATTTTTACATTGCTTCAGGTCTTAACTATTTAATTTATTGCACATGTTTTCAGATCAACTACCGTGTTTCATACTGATTTCACGATTGTTATTTGTTTCGATTCCCAATCATCACCCATTGGTCTCTATGACACTCGTAGCATGAATGGTTATTTCTGAGGCACGAAAGCCAGGTCCCTCCCTAAAGGAACTTGGCCTCTAAAATTTGACACAAGAGGAACAACGGAAGAAGATGGAAGAGAGAGGCTCGAGGCTACGACAAACGGGAATCACTGAAGAGTAAATTAGACAGCTATATGTCAGATATACTTAAAGAGACAGAGGCTAGAGGCTACGACAAATGGGAATCATTGAAGAGAAAATTAGACAGCTATATGTCAGATATACTTTAGCTTGGATTCCTGCACTGAGTAGGGGGTTGGGCTTGATGGCCTTTCAGGCTCTTTCCAGGAAAATTATTCTACGATTCTATGAGGATATCCCTTTGTGGTCATTTACAAGCATTCAACTCTCCCACCCTCCTGAAAATAAGTAGGAAAGCAGGAGTGTGGGGGTGGCTTTAGAAATAAAGCAAGATTAGATGCCTCTTTGGCCACACAAGGTGGTACGTAAGAAAATAAATGAAATTATTAAACATTTTAAAAGGGGGAGGATTAGTACACATACATCTTTTAACAATAAATCCACAACCAATTAAAAAAACAAGAATCTATCTTTCCCATATACTTCCAGACTTCCACTATTCATTTACTCTCTCTCTCTGACACACACACACACACAAACACACACATACACACACACTCTCCAGGCAACCTTTTCCCCCTCAGACCTTGATTCTAATTTGGTAATGACTGTCAGAGGACCAGAGGGAAGCATTTCGCCGGTGGATCTGGCACTCACAATTTTTGGTAGGCTGCCCGGCCCCCATGTTCTAAATCTCCAGTGTTTTCACCTTCAAAAGAAGAAGAGGAGGAGGGAAGGGGGGGAGCACCCTGACCCTTTGGAAAAAGCTGTGCTGAGCACCTCACGGCTGTGAGAAAAGAGAAGGCACATCAAAAAAAAAAAAAAAAAAAAAGCAACATACCCTCCAGCTGGATTTGTATGGCAGGGTCACCTTTCATCACTGCTAAAACAACTGCTGAACCAGATCCAATGTTCCACACAGCAGCCTGGGACAAAGAACTGGTTTCTAAAGCAGGGGCGGACTTTTGACGCTGACAGAGGAACCAGGCACAAATGCCAGGACAGGTTGGCTTATGAAGGCAAGCTGCCTGTCATCATTCAACACACTCAACCCTAATATTTGTCACCCTGAGATTTGCTTCCTGCAGGGTGCCATAGCATCAGCCAGAGCTTAGGAAAGCTTTAAAAAAAAACTACAGTTCCCAGAATCTCCCAGCCAGCATGATCCATCATTAGGACAGCTAGGGGATTCTGGGAGTTATAATCCAGAAACTTATGGTTCTAGAGTTTTTCCTACCCCAGCTCCCCTTCAACAAACACATTCCAGGACATCTGCCGGACAGGTTTCAAGAACCGCAACGGAGAAGAAAAGCAACTGGATGCAGGACTGTAATTTAGTGGGCATCACGCCAAGCTTTGCTCTGTTGCCCAAGACGAATGCCAAAACGGTGCCATGTTCTACTCATGGGTGAAGCCCTACCGGCCCTACCCTTAGGCAAAGGGAGGCAGGCATCTCCATTAGCAGATTTGGGGCATCATGAAAAGAGAGCAAACGGTTGCTTGGTTATTTTGCTATTACCTCCCGGGATGGGGCAAGGTGCTTGTGAGAATGCCTGGCTCCAAATATCACCACCGTTTGGCTGGGTTTGGCATACTGCCCACCTTAATGGAGTTGGTATTCTGACTTGGGCAAACCAAGGGTTTTGAGCAAGCCCTACCTCTATGCCAGGAGTCATTTTCCTGCTAATTTTATTTCTTACTGCCAAGGAAAGGGAAAAGTGTTATTTAGACACAGGGAACATTGTATTGTTTTGGACTATAGTCTGCAGGGATTTTAAAGCCCTAGCCAGAATGCTGAGGTTTTAGCAAAAACAAAACAAAACAAAAGCCCTCCACAGTGTTTTGAATTGTATTCTCGAAAGCTTTCACGGCTGGGATCCGATGGTTCTTGTAGGTTTTTCGGGCTCTTTGGCCGTGTTCTGAAGGTTTCTCTCTGTGGCCGGCATCTTCAGAGGACAGGAGTTAGAACTCTATCTGTTCTAACAACAACTATCCCACACACTACACCAGAACACAGACAGAGTTCTGACTCCTGTCCTCTGAAGATGCCAGCCACAGAGACTGGCAAAACATCAGGAAGAAAAACCTTCAGAACACAGCAAAACAGCCCAAAAAAACCTAAAACCATAATGTTTTGAATTGCTTGCAGCTGAGGAAACAAAGGCCCTGTCAGACATAATGAATCTTCATAAAGATGGGGGAGGCAGCTGGTTGTAGCTAAGCTCTGTGGGAACTACAAGGCCTTAGGGGCCTGGGAGTCTTCTGTAGAGGTACCCTGTTGCAGAGCATTTTCCAGACCTTTATGCACACAAAGGGTCCCAAACACACCTCTGGCCTTTCTCACCGTTGTCATTTGACTACTAACCATGGTGGTCAAGATGTACTTGTAGAAGGCAGATGTCATCCCCAGTTCTGAAGCCTAAGAAAGGAGAATCAGAAAGAAGATCAGTTCCCATCAAGAACTCCTGGGGTGCTGAGGTCCCTCCTCAGGAGGGACCAACTTGATGGCACATAACAACAACACGTATGTTTAAACCTGTGAGAACCTGTGGATTAAAAAAAATATCCTCTTGGCTAAGGATGGGTGAACATTCCCCATTTACCTTAAAAGGTACTAAGCTTTGTTTAGGGGTTTCTGTTGTGAACAGGATATTTAAAAACAAATCAAGAAACCTAGCTCTCTTCCTCATCCCCCATGAGCTTTGACTTGAATTCCTGGTTTTTTTTTTAAAAAAAAAAAACCCTTGAAATCCTGCTGTTAAAAAAAGAAAAGACAATCTTCTCCAATGAATATTTTGCTCCAAGGGCAGATTTTTAATTGGCGTTAGTAGTTTTTCCTATGTACAGTCCTCCAAAATGGAGAAGGGAGTGAGGTGTTTTGTTTTTGGCTCCTATGCATTCATTTGAGGTAAAAGGTAAAGGTTCCCCTTGACAATTTTTGTCCAGTTGTGTTCAACTCTAGGGGGCGGTGCTCATCCCCGTTCCAAGCCATAGAGCCAGCGTTTTGTCCGAAGACAATCTTCCGTGGTCACATGGCCAGTGCGACTTAGACACGGAACGCTGTTACCTTCCCACCGAGGTGGTCCCTATTTATCTACTCGCATTTGCATGCTTTCGAACTGCTAGGTTGGCGGGAGCTGGGTCAAGCGACGGGCGCTCACTCTGTCGCGTGGATTCAATCTTACAACTCCTTGGTCTTCTGACCCTGCAGCACAGGCTTCTGCGGTTTAACCCGCAGCGCCACCACGTCCCATGCATTCATTTGAAGACTTTGCAAAAGCATTCAAAGGCTTATAAGTAGTTGAAAGGTGTGTTTGTACGAGATCCAACTGTTTTGATGGAAAACAGGGAGGCTTCCACCTATCCCTAGCTTAGATACCCTGTTATCTTCTGGTTTATTAAAACTGCCGGAAGAAAATGTTCAGTTTTCACACCGAATGTAGAAAAAGTGGGGGGTTTTTTGGGGAGGGGGGGTTGAGGGCTGAGTTAATGAGACTCTCAGAACTCCACACCCAGCTTGTAGGATTCAGCTCAGGATTTGTATGAAAACAGGTTGTTATTTTTTAGTTCAAATCAGCAACACTCTCTATCCCAGAATACAATCTACTTTTAGGCTAAGACACAAGAGAGAAGAAGTTTTCACAGCACTGACCTATGAACCAAGGTATCCAGGCACAAACGATGGATCCCTCTTGGTTCAGGCTGGAGGAAAAGAGCATGAGTTTCCTCGCCCCCAGAGATCTGCTGTGTCCCCACTGGAGATGCGCATGATCCGTACTTCGGCGCTTCAGTGCTATCTGGTGGATTGGGGCCACAGGTGCTGCGTTGGTGTCCTGGATTCCTCGCCCCATCCCCATCTCTGAGGGGTATTCATAAGAGAAGGTGGGGCAGGGAATAACCACCACCACCACCACCATCTTAGAACTGCATTGCTGGAAGGGACCCCCAAAGATCATCCAGTCCAGCCCCTCTCAAGGAGGCCCAGTGGGGAATCGAACTCCCAACCTTTCGCTTTGCAGCCAGAGACCTAAGCCACTGAGCTATCCAGAATATGGGTTCACCCGTGAAATACCTGTCGTCCCAATCTGCTGAACCACACCAAAGCCCTGAAGCGTGGATCGTGCCCATCTCTACTCCCCACCTCCCCAACCCCCCTGTGCCGTCTCTCCCCCTCACCTTCTTGAGGATGAGATAAGAAATAGAAGCGTTGGCATCAATGATGATGGTGGAGATCTTGTCGTCCCGGATCTCCTTGAGCAGCGGCGTCGGGTCGTTGGTGTCGTCCAACATCCGGATCGACAGCGTCTCCTTGGAAATGAGAAACTGACGAACTAACTCCTCCAGTCGTAGCAGACCTGGTGGGCGGGAAAGGAACAGGGGGTTACGCCAAGATTTTGTCCAAGCCAGAACCCAGCCCTAACATTTGGCGTTGGTACTCAAGGACTTGGCGATGGAATACTTCAATCAGGACATAAAGATATATATACTGTACATATATATCTTTTTGTCTCCATTAACATTAGCATGGGAAGCCCTGCTTTGCATCCTAATTTTGAAGGACGTGACCCCCATGAAATGTTAAGACAGGGCCTCGTCTGTGGTGGCTCCAGAGACCCAGGATGGGTTCTCGAGTCCCGCCTGCCAGCATCCAACCTTGAAGCAACGTAGAAGAGCTCAGTTTTCTTGCCCATCTGGGCAAAGAAGCCGTGTTATGGCCAAGCTAAGGATGACATTAAAGGAGTCTTTAAATTGAATCATTATCGTCTTAGAACTGCAGAGGTAGAAGGGATCACTGAATCAGCTCCTGTCAAGGAACCCCAGTGGGGGAATCGAACTCCCAACCTCTCTGTCTCTGCAGCCGGAGACCTAAAGCACTGCCCTATCCAGCAGGGTCACTGAAAAGAATTGCTAACAACTACCACCGCTGCAGGTTCTGATCGTTATTAATTTTACAGCATGCAGTGGGAGGAATGTCTTAATCCCAGCTGCAATTCTGACAAAACATCGTTCCTATCTATCTTAGGAAGAAAGCTGCCACAGAAGGAAACATTCTTCCGACTGTAAAACGCCCGTTTCAGAGGAGCCCATTTCGCCAGCAGAGAGGAAAGGCTTAAAAATGCCAAGTCTCCTCAGTCCCAGTCATTTACTTCCTAGTAGCTGAGGGACGTGGTGGCGCTGCGGGCTAAACCGCAGAAGCCTGTGCTGCAGGGTCAGAAGACCGAGCAGTCGTAAGATCGAATCCACGCGACGGAGTGAGCGCCCGTTGCTTGTCCCAGCTCCCGCCAACCTAGCGGTTCGAAAGCATGCAAATGCAAGTAGATAAATAGGGACCACCTCGGTGGGAAGGTAACAGCCTTCCATGTCTAAGTCGCACTGGCCACGTGACCACAGAAGATTGTCTTCAGACAAACGCTGGCTCTATGGCTTGGAAACGGGGATGAGCACCGCCCCCTAGAGTCGAACACGACTAGACAAAAATTGTCAAGGGGAACCTTTACCTTTACCTTTACCTTAGCTATCATTTGCATTTGTTTTTAGAAGTGCCGGTTACATGCAAAAACCTACAGCATTTAACCTCACCTCTAGTTTGGCCGTCACTGAAAGTAGGGCAGGTTGGGGGGGTGTGCATACAAGTAGAAATGACCCCCCAAAAAATCTGACCATCACTGGTGGCTCCTGTGGATCCCACCCCCCCACTCCCACCCACCCCCCCCTCAATCGCAGCTGCCTCTTCTCTTCCAAAGAGAACAGCTACATTTTCTTACACTCCGCCTTGGCGCAAATGAGGCTCGCCGAGGGGTAGTTGAAGGACTTGAGGATGCGGGACACGGCCAAGCTGACATCCTCATTGCTGGGGTAAAGACTGACGGAGGCAAAGCGCAGGTACTGCAGCTTAGGGGTTTCCTCAGGACCCACCTTAATATGGGGGATCTAGAGAAGAGAAAGAAGTCATTAAGCGATGGACATTTTTTTTCCTGCCTCAATGGAGGCTGGTGGCTGCGACATCAACAGAGGCAGGGATCATGATTTCCTGATTTCAGCCTGAACTTTACCAGAACTAAATCTAAGGCACTGAGCCCCATTCTCTAAAACAGATTCAGCACCCTGGACAGGTCCTTTAAAGTTCAAACAAAAGGCTGAAGCGTATTCACCATCCCACTGGACAGAGAACCCACCAGGCTGAACTGTTCTCAGTCCTTTCTTCACAGCTGAAGAATCTGGATCTGCCAAACACTATTTACACCAGGGTAATCTAGGTACAGCCCTTGATGGAAAGAGGTCCTCAAGGTTGTTTCTGATGCCTTCAGGAGCTGCAATTCACTTTTTATATAGCCAAAACTGTATTGCATAAGTGACACCTATAGAGGGGAATGATATCACCAGGAAGAAAGTTTTTTTTTTCTAATTTAAGGACCACCTCATTATGCCCTGTGGCTTGTGTAGCTCACAAACAATCCATTTCATTCTGTGGGAGTCAAGAAATACAGTGGGGTCTTGACTTGAGAACTTAATCCGTATTGGAAGGTGGTTCTCAAGTCAAAAAGTCTGTAAGTCAAGTCTCCATTGACCTACAG